CCTTTAGTGGAGATTAGTGTAACCTTCTCCCATATATACTCAATATAAGAGAAGATTAGTAGAATCATCACTTAAACACACCAATCCATAATCAAAGGATTTATTTGAAAAGTTTTGGCCAAAAATTTCATTGCAAAATCATCAAAAATCATAATACATTGGATTAACACACAGCGGATGCAATTCATATGCATTCACGTCACCGAATGCATGCCATAAAAACCACACAATCAGGTTGAATTATGGGCCATGAGTGATGGCATGCAATACGTGTGTCACAACATGTGGCATAGAGCCACACACCCAAACTCTTTGTGATGTACGCCGTAGCATGTGACACCATGCGCCGCAGCGTGCCTATCTGAAATTTTGCTGTCATTTTAATAGCAAAATGACAAACTTCTTACGTGCGTCATTTTCACATATGACGTCCGATCAAAGTGATTCAAGCTCTCACAAGAAGCTTATCTCATAAGCTAGCTAATAAGATAGGTTTGGATACAATGTAAAGGTCTGATCAAATTGAATACTCGAGTATAAAATGTCACTTTTTTTTGAAAATGTTGCACACCTAAGTGCTCAAATCAATCCGTTTCTCTTATTAGACCACACAAGACCTTGAATCAAGTCTAAAAGGACTTAATACACTGGTTGACCACAATATATCACATGTCCCTATATATATCAAAATTTAACCCCTCAATGGATAATTTTCATATTTCACAATTTTTAGCAATTTGCTAATTCTTGGCACAACTTAGCCCATTTGGCCTTTTTCTCTACTTATGTACACAAAAGCACATCCATAACATATTCACTCTTTAATCTTAACCCTAAATTACTCATTTCATCATAATTTCTCACAAATGAACTAAGATTCACCAACATTTACCACAATTTCAACACAAACACACTCAAATCATAGCCCCTGATTTATTTCATTACAAATATACACAATTTGGCTAAGATTCCATAAAGTTACTACTTAAAACATGCATGCAATCCTATGGCAACTTATTTGACACATACATACACAAGTGTTTAGTTCATTACACAAACTCAAAAGGGTTTCGCAACCATAGCACCACTATACTAGTCCAGACTCTCTTCCCTTACCCTGATCACTGCTCGGTCGTATAAAAATGTAACCATAAGGGTGATATAAAAATTTAAGTAACAAAATAACTCACTCCTATTGACTACCACATGCAACTATATAAAAGTAAAGCATAATGTACCATTTAATATAATATATCACATATTTCATTCCAAATATCACTCATGTCAGTCATTTTATCTCTTTAACACTTGTTTCACTACTTTTCTCCACTTATACCACATATAGCAATGCATTGCATCACATGGCAACCCATAGCATGATCACTACCAACTGAACCTTTAAATCACCCCGACACAACCATTGGCTCATCTTAAACTAATGTACACTCTCATTGCTCACCTTTAGTAGTAGAATCACCTAACTAAAGGTGTTCTATCTCACTTCCAGACTATGATTTACCTCAATACATAATAAGATGTTGTTGACTCTAATATTGTATCACACAGACACTAAGGAGTCCCATATCTCCAACACCACATCTCAATAGGCACTAAGGAGATTTTCTCCAACACCGCACCTTAAAAGGTACTAAGAAGGTATAATTCTCCAACACCACACCCTGTTGAGCATTAAGGAGAATTTTTCATATGGTCTTATCACCACTTCTCTACTCAAGTGAACTCCTATCCCTATAATCATGCTTTCCAAACCATTCAAAGTTTCTCATTATCACTTTTACACATTTTCTCATAGATAACATATACATATAGTAACATATCATTTGAAATCACCCAAATCAATGCATTTATTCAATCAAAAACTATTTCATGCAATACTCACACAATACCATAAAACATGCTCAATTGAAAACTATTTTATGTATTACATAGCAAACTCACACAGTTACAACAAATAGTCAACCAAAGGAAGTTATTCGGTTACCTCAACCCTTCTATCACTAGAAAGATTATCCGTGGATTTCAACTACCACAACATCTTATCACAAGCTTCTATTCTTAATACACACGTCCAATATGCCAATCTGAACACATTTAGCACAATTTAGTCATTTGGTTCATTTTAACTAAAAATACATATTTACTACTTATGGCTATATTCACCCATAAACTCTTTTTTTATCTATTCTAAGTCCATTACTACTTGACTACTACCTTGCATTACCTCAATTGGTCTCATTTCAGTTAAATCATATTTTTACACTAAAATCTCTCTCTCTTAGGGCCAAATTAAGCCTATGGGTTCAAAGCTCTATCGTTCAGCTTTAAACCAATTGTAAAGCTCTAATTTAACTCTCAAAAACTTTTTTGTTAATATTAGGTAAGAATCAAACCCCTCAAAGTTCATCGATTCAATTTCCCTATAACTCATTTTTAGAGAAATTTATGTAAAATAAAAGGTAAGGATTATAGATAGCTTACCTACTAAGTTACTCATTAGAAGCACATTCTAATGGCCTAAAATGGCTTGCCCTAGCTCTTTTGCCCTTCTTCTCTTCTCCTCTCGTGCTTTTTTAATTTTTACCTTCTGAAAATCACCTAAAATCCATTAATCAAGGGTTATTTTCTAGTTCAGGAGCCATGGCACATGCAACACAAGCCATAGTGCGTGACACAGCACTTTGTTCGATCTAAAACGCAATCTTCTTGCCCATATCTATTCATACAACATTCCAATGAGTCAAAATATCACATAACCATCAAAATCTATAATCCCACGCTAGTTACCACTTTACCCTCAATTAACAACTAATCAAGGGATTAAGAAATTCAGGATGTTATAGTCGAGATAAGCTCAATACCATTCTTTGGAACCCCTTAATGTTAAAAAAGGGGGATTTCATGGTCTATTTGGGAGCTCTAGGAACTTTGGCCAAGTAACATCTCTTAAATAGTCAGCTGGTATGCCTAGTCACATGGATTTGTTTGTTCTTGTTAATCCTATGATCTCAACTAGAGGATTAAGGAGGAGTTAAGGATGGTATTAATCAAATTGTTATGTTTAATGGCAAACTGTGTTATGTATTGGTGTGATTGTATGCTACATGGTAACTATTGGAATCGAGGGCCCTATCAGCAATAATTAATGAATTAATATTGCTATTAACTTTTTTATATTAGGAACCTGTTAGAATTGGGAACCCCAGTGATGTTGATTAATGATTGATGGATAGGCTATGACTTTTATATATTTGTTATTGTTAATTAGATGTTGAAAATCCATTAAGTCGGGTTGTTTGTGGATTGTGGATATTGCATAACACTAAATATGGTTGTTGAGAAATCTTGTCTCAACCCCCTTTTACCTAATTTTTTTAAGGGAACATGAGTAAAGTTGCAAGAAGAAAACCAATGATAGGGAACCAAGTTTCATAAAAAGTAGGGCTCCATGCAAATCATTGTTGTTGTAACCTATAAGACTTTGCATCTTTATCTATGCCTTTACTTTACATTTGAATTTTTATTACTCTACATGAGGACAATAGTATAAGGTTACAACCAAAGACAATTGTGGACAGAAGCCTAACTTTTCCCTCTCATTCACTCTTTAATCCTAAATCTTGCTCTAAATTACTTCGAACTAATTCATTTTGTCTAATACTTCTAATTAAAACTTTAAGATGTTATAGCTTGCAATAAGGGTTTAAAAACTTATATTGATTGATAAAATTAAGTTTTACCCTTTCTCTATTATGGTAGTATTATTATTGGTAAGAACTTTTTCAACCATAGTAGGACTCCCTATTATAAGACTAAGTTGGTTTTCATATCATGGTAGAACTCTACTTGAGTTCTTTTCTACCATAATAGTATTAAATGTTTTCTTTTCTATCATGGTAGTCCATTCCTTTTCTACCATGGTAGGGGGATCGTTTAAGTGTCTTACTAAGGTTGTTTTAGTTTGGAGCTTTTAAACTTGTTAGTAAGTATTTAATTCATTTTCCTCTTTGAATATTTGGTTTTTTAGGGTTTGAACGTGTATAAAAGATTACTTTGGGTATGTTGAAGGATTTGAAGATGATTTCACTGATTTATCTTAGCTTAAATAATAAACAGATTGTTGTTTTGAGGCTTTAAAGTATATAATCGATTTACAGTGTTGATTTGTTAAATTTGATGTTGTTAGACTAAACCCTGGGTATGTAAATGGTGTTTTGGTTTGGATTAGAGGATTTAAGTAGTTAATATAGCTATTTAAGAGTTAAATGAGTAGGTTAATTATGGGATTTAATGTGGGTAATAAGATTTTATTCATGGTTATAGGATTGGAGGATTTTGACATTTAGAGGTTTGGGATTTGACACCAGTCACTACTACAGAATTACGCATATTTGACGATTATTTTCACTTATATTTGACGGTTAAAAACCATCAAATAAGACACCGTCATTTATGCAGCTTCATATACTTGACAGTTATTTTAACTATCAAATATGTGATATTATACTTGACGGTTCTAAATAACCGTCAAGTATAAGGTATAAAAACTTGCTTTGACTGAAAAACAACACCATATTTGACGGTTAGATGTTAGAATCGTCAAATATTTATGTATATATTTGATGGTTATACTAAATAACCATCAAATATATTAACATATTTGACAGTTATCAAAATAACCGTCAAATATGTTATAGAATTTTTTTTACATAGCAGCTACATTTAAGCAACCCCCTGCAACAGAATTGACATTATTTCATAATCCAGACAATCCAGCAAATATATATTATCATCAGCAACATTCTTTCAGAATTAAAAGAACATGTACATAATATATATACGCATATATACACAGTCACATTAATTATAAACAAAAAAGTTGTAAATCTTAATCCTAAATCACAATTCTATCCTAAAAAATGAAACAATAATTCTATCCTAAGCCACATTCTTTTTGCCTTCAAGCTCTAAATGTGCACTCACAAAATGTGTGAATTTTGCATGATCCAAAGTTGAAATATATGTTGGCACCACTCTTCCACCACTTCATTGATGTGAGCATCCCCAAATTCTTCACAATAAGCATCATCATAATACTGCAATTTAAATTATAACCATATCAAAGTTAATTAGCTAACTAATGAAATTTTGCCATATATAAAACATATATTTAAATTAAATATAAACCTTGGTAGGGATTGAAGTCTTGGCGTGAGTGATGATGTCCCTAATGAATCTCATCACGCAATATCCACAGTCCACTAAATCTGGTCTTTGACGTGGGCACTTTAAAAACAAAACAAACAAAATATATTAAATTATTGAATAATCATTAATAAATACTTGAACAATTAATGTTTAAACATGTACCCTTATTACTGTCCATGTGAACAATTGGTCAAATGGTTTAACCCTAGGGACAGTTAAAGATTCATCCGTGTGGTACAAAAAAACAGCCCTAAAAACACAGAAGTTAGTAAGTTTGAAATATCAAAAAACACAAGTATGAACTTAATTGATGCTCTTGCTTGTTGATTGATTCTATCATATCTTTACGATTATCCGGTTGTCTGCCAGTAGAACACAAGTAATAGATGGCCAATTTCTCATATTTTTCTTCAGTCGGATCAAGGACAATCAGCAACCAATGATCCCTAAAATAATTAACAATTGTAAAGAATATATAACAAATTGAAATAGTTAATAAATTGAGAAAACACACTAAATATAACAAACAACTAACCCTTGTACGTAAAGTATCAAGAATAACCTCCCCTCTTTTTTAGTAGTCTTGGCTTTGAATGAATCGCATAGCCGCTTTGCTTGATCTTCACGATCAGAGTCCCGAATGTCATGGAAAGTAGCAATGTCATAAGGACAAATGAAGGCAAATATCCTAGTAAGGTTGCGAGGCACGACAAGTGTATGATAGAGAAACCTAAAATTAATAAATCAAACAAATTAGTATATATTTATAAAAATAATGACCACTCTTGTGCAAAAGAAGTACCTCAAATAAAAATCCATGACGGTCGTGCTAATCATGCCATGGTGGAGTACTTCATCTACGACTTCGAGTGTTATGTGATTGGTATCATCTCTGTCATACATGCCATGCTCGAATGGGACGTCTATAGTAATAAAATCATGAATACTCCTTTACATGTCAGTATATGCCCCTAGTGAGGTCAAGAATTTATGTGACAATTGAGGCTCCATCTTTTGAAGCAGGGAAGGTGCAATAATCTTTGACTCATGGCCAGTTGATTGTTTTTTAGGGAAGTCTTTTTTCTTGGACTATCTACCAGAGATAGTTAGAGATCAAAAGTTATTATATAGATATCTTATATTTGTTTGAGATCAGCTTTATAAATTATATATATATATATGTACCTTATCTTTGTTAGATATTGGCCTTATAAGGGCGGTGGGCCATGCAACAAAGGTGCCTAATGCATCTCCTACAATCATCACATCCTCCGTGGGAATGGGTAGCTGATAGTTGTCATCCAAAGAAACTTTTAGACAAACTCGTACGTGGCCTAAGGAATTGGCACATTATGTATAGTGCCCCCAGGGACATTATACATTATACCAATTGCAACCACACGGTGATCTGGACTGTTTGCTAAAAACTCACATTCGACTTCACCCTAAAGTAATGGAAACATTTATAAGTTATTAATACAAAAATGAATATAACTAAAAAAATAGTAATATTACCTCAGGAAGGTTCGGATGAGAAGGCTAAGCTACGATGCAACTATCTCTCTTACTATTGGGACTAATGTCCACAGGAGCGGATGTCTTTCCCTGGGACATGAGCAACACATCAACCAACCGATGCAACCTATCAACCTCATCGTTTAGTGCATTAAACTCAGCTGAAGAAGGCATTGCACCTTTTAATGGCTTTGTAGTCCCAAATACTTGCTTCTTAGTGACGCCAAAACCAATACCCCTAACGCGTCCGGGGTGTCAGGATTACCCAATGCCTGACCCAAGATATCTTCATCCTTTGGACGCTTACCCTTTGAAACTTCATCTGAGATAACAGCCTATGTGACACAAATTGAAAACTTAAATTATTTGTTTGAATGAAAAAATTGAATTTACTATGTCAAATTAATAATATTGACACTTACACATTTATTAGCTATCTCCTGAACATACTCATCTATAATGTTACCCTCTTTGTTGGTTCAGCCTTCTATGAAAAGAACATGGCAGGATATGCTACTAACTCCTGTGCCTTCTCGCTCAATCTATGCATGTCAATAGCAAAAGAATTAGCAATTAGCAAATACAATAAATAAATGTGGAGTAATTTTAAAATTAATAAATTAGTAATTAATAAATACCATCTTTTCCTCTATGCCTGAATACCCCACACGACCTTTCTTAAAAGGATAAGGATTTTTCTTAACCAACTCCTGATTTTGTTGGCTCAATTGCTGTGAAAAAAATTATAGGGAATAATTTATTAGAAAATTAAAATCAATTGGTAAAGTAAAATCACCTAAAATTCCATTTGAAAACGAGATGCAACAAATTCATCCCATTGTTGTTGGGTTACCAAAGGTCTAATTAAAGTGGGGACCTCGAAACTAATATTTCCACCCACTCTTTTAATATATTTTGATCCCACAAAATATTGAAAAAAATGCATTACTCTCCCAACTATTTGGAGGACATACTTCCTTCGACTAGCATCAATTATAAATGCTGACTGTAAAATATTAGCATGTTATTAGTAAATTGATAAACTATTATAGGCACAATAGTCACATAATGGTAAGTTAACAAATATACCTCTACTTGTTCCCAAATATACTGCCTTATAGATTGATCTACCTTCTTCCAATTTCTGAGTGTGATAGGCAGGGACCTCGAAACTAATATTTCCACCCACTCTTTTAATATATTTTGATCCCACAAAATATTGAAAAAAACGCATTACTCTCCCAACTATTTGGAGGACATACTTCCTTCGACTAGCATCAATTATAAATGCTGACTGTAAAATATAGCATGTTATTAGTAAATTGATAAACTTATTAGGCACAATAGTCACATAATGGTAAGTTAATAAATATACCTCTACTTGTTCCCAAATATACTGCCTTATAGATTGATCTACCTTCTTCCAATTTCTGAGTGTGATAGGCACATTTGCTCTTGCGACAGCTCCAATATAGCTGATGAATTTATCTTTATTGTCCTTAATCGGTTGGCCTTTAGCATTCTATTGGAGGGGATATTTTTGTCCAGCTATCCTCTGTCTATTCACTTCTGTCATCAATACTAAGCCCTTTCTAATCTTAGTTGCTTCCTCCTGAAGCTGTCATCATTCATTGTCAGACTAGGATCAGCATTGGGAGTATCACCACTAGCTACAACACCAGGGCCACTGGTGGGGTCGACACTGGGGCCCCCACTGGGGTCGACGCTGGGACCACTGCTGGGGTCAATGTTTCTTTTCCTTGCTTTACTCTGGTCTCGAATTCTTTTTCCTCTCTTTGACATCCAAATACCTTCAGTATAATCATTTCTCATATAGAATGCATCACCTTCAGTAAAATTACTTTCAAGTGACGTTCCTAAAAATGGATCATCCTCAACAACAGTATCATCCATGTCTTCAATGAATTTGTTTGTCAATAAAACAATGGACCAATTAGTTTTAGCAGGATCAGGAACATAGAACACTTGTCGAGCCTGCGAAGCAAGGATGAAAGGCTCATCTTTATACCCTTCTTTGTTCAAATTTACCTGTATCAACCCTGAGTTATCATCAATTAAAAAGCCATTTTTATGGTCAACCCTCTTGCAACCGAAGACCAAAATCTGAAACTTTACATAATCTAACTACCAAATGTGCTCAATTACCCAAAATATGACATATTTGCATATATTGGGTTGTTGTCTTTAGAGCTAGTTACATGCATCCTATGAAAAATAAGAGTGACACCACTATTTTGCATTGTGCTTCGACTATCTTGCTCTTAGTATAGAAGGTGTATCCATTGATAACATAGCCAGTATAAGAAGCTACTTGTATGCTCGGACCTCTAGCCAACCATCTCACTTTTTGAGAAATGGAATCAGATTCATGTTGAACATATCACAAATATGCTCTTTCAGCCAATGTGCAAATTGCTTATTATGTTCTTTTACATGCCAAGTTTCACCTCTATTAGGATTATCCTTCTTAAGCTCAGCCAAGTGCCTGTCTGCAAATTCTTGAACCTCTTCTGAGTTGTGCAACACATAAAGATGTGCTTGATCCCATGGTAAATTTGAGACAGTAACTATATTCTTTCCTATTATCCCTCCCCACCTTCCCTTCCCATATGCCGAGACACTGGTAGCCCAACATAATTGACATTTTTAAATACTCAGTATAAAATCAACCGCTTCTTCACTGATATACCGTTCAACAATGCAACCCTCAGGTCGACTACGGTTTTTGACATATCCTTTTAATATCTTCATATAACGCTTCACAGGATACATCCATCTTAAATAAGCCGGCCACACATTTGTACCTCCTTCACTAAGTGAATGGTTAAGTGAACCATTATGTCAAAGAAAGCAGGTGGTAAATACATCTCCAACTCACACAATACTTTTACAATTTCGCTTTGTAACTTCGACAATTTTTGGGATCAATAACTTTACTGCAAATGGATTTGAAGTAGAAACATAATTTTTGTGATTGTGTCTCGTACCTTATTAGGTAGAATAGAACATATTGCCACCGGAATAAAATTTTCCATCAAAACATGACAGTCATGAGATTTTAAACCCTTCAACTTTAGCTCTTTCATTGACACAAGGTTTTTAATATTTGATGAGTAACCCTCTGGAACTTTAACTGCAGCAAGAAACTCAAAAAGAGAATTTTTTCTTTTCTAGACAATAGCTACTGGATGAAGAAAGGTGTGACTCCCCTTCTCCTCTGGTGCTAAGTCTTCCCTTATCCCCATGGAAAGCATGTCTAACCTTGCATTGATGCTATCTTTGGTCTTTCAAGGAATATGGAGTAATGTACCAACAACACTATCATAAATATTTTTTTCAATGTGCATCACATCAAGAAAATGCCTAACATACAAGACCTTCCAATATAGTAACTTAAAAAAAAATAGACTTTTTCTTCCACCCACTTGTCCCAAGGTGCTTTGAAAAAGATTCCCAAATTCGATATACAAATCCTTAACCTTTTCAAACAATTGGTCACAAGTCAACATTAAAGGCAGGCCACATTCTTCTAAATTTCCATTAAAACATTTCTTCAATTGTCGATAATTATGACTTAGATGCAACCACATGCGATGCCCCATATAAGCATTCTTCATACCATGCTCCAACCTAATTGAATATGTGTTTTCTTCACAAATAGGGCATCCAAGTTTCCCTTTTATAC